AATTTTTTTTTTAAATTTGTTTGTTTATTTATTTATTTATTTATTTTGTGTGTGTGTGTGTGTGTGTGTGTGTGGCCAGCTCAGCCCACCAAGGGGCGGGACTGGCTGGCATGTGGTGCTGGGGGATTGAACCGCGGTCCCTATGCTTTGCTTAGCTTAGCTTGTTCTAAGTAGGTGCTTTAGACCACTGAGCCATCTCACCAGCCCCTGTTTTAAATTTTAAGACAGAGTCTTGCTAAATGGCCCCAGTACTGCCTCGACTTTATGATCTTGCTATATCTGTCTCCCAGAGTGCTGAGATTACAGATGTCTACCAGCATGTCCAACTTTCTATCTTTCTGTGGTTGAACAGTATTCCACTCTATTTATATACTACAATGTGTTTACCTACTCATCTCCCTTCCCCCTTCTACCTTTGTGTGTGTGTGTGTGTGTGTGTGTGTGTGTGTAGTACTGGGACTTGAGCTGGGGTTTCACACTGAATTACATTCCCTCCAATCCTTTTTTTCAGACACGGTCTCACTAAATTCCTCAGCTTGGGGCTAGAATCCACTTGAGTAGCTGGGATTACAGGCATGAGGCTTGGTGCCCGAGTACTTCAACCTTGTTACTATTGTTAATAGTATGATTAAAAACCATATATATGTATATGGGTATATATATATATATACATATACCCATATACATATATATGCACATACATATATGTTATATAAACATATGTTATATACATGTATATACATATACACACATGTATTTCAGCACTTGGTTTTCATTTTTCAACATACATATGTATGTCTTTTCATAGTTCTGGATGTCAAACCCAGTGCTTCATCCATTCTAGATTAGCACTCTACCATTACCTGTAGCCCTTTGTTTTCATCTATCTTGGGTATATTCTTGGGAGTACAACTAGGGAGTCAAAGTAAATCTTACTCAACTTTTTGCAAAGTTGTCATGCTGTTTTTGTTTTTTTGAGACAGGGTCTCACTATGTTGTTCAGGCTGGCTTTGAACTTCTGTGTAGCACAGGCTCACCTTGAACTCACAAGTGATCCTCCTGCCTCAGCCTCCCAAGTGCTGGGATTACAGGTGCACACCATTATGCCTGGCCTAACTTTTGTCACACCTGAAATACTTTACATTTCTATGAGCAATGTACACAGTTGCCTTTTCTCTAGATACTATCTTATACTTGTTATTCTTCCTTTTTAAAAAACATTCACTTTGATGGTTGTGAAGAAGTAGGGTGATTTTGATTTGCATTCTGTAAAGACTAGCAAATTGAGCATTTCTTCATGTGTATGAGGACCACGTGTATCTTTTTTTCATGTGGAACAAGTTTATATGCCAATATGTGCATAAAATCATATAACCTCACCACTGAAATTGTAAAACACATGATTGTATCTTATCGTTGACATCTAGTAAAAGGTGATTGTATAGTCCTTTTTCATTACTGAATAACTAATGACTACAAACACTTGAACAATATACACTTTTTCTTAGCTCAATTTCTGTGGGTGTAGAATTCAGGAATCGATAAGTGAATCCTCTACTTAAGTTCTTAAGAGTTCTTGCCATCAAGGTGTCAGGTGGGCTACACTGGAAATACAGAGTGCTCTTCCAAGGTCATTTGGCAGTTCCCTGCCATGCTAGACCAATCATATCTTTGGGGAAATGCCTATTAAAGCTCATCGCCCATTGGTAATTAAATTGTTTGGGGGCTTTGTTGCTGAATTATACCAGTTTCTATTTATTCTGGACTTAAATACATGATTTACATATATTAGATATTTGACTTACAAATATTTTCTCCCATCCTTTCAGATGTCTTTTGACTTTCTTTATAACATCCTTTTTTTTTTTTTTTTTTTTTTGTATTGTAGGGAGGGGTCTACAGGTTGTTCAGGGTCTCACTACTAGATCAGACTTGTAGTGATCTACCTGTTTACAGCCTCCCAAGAGCTGGGATTACAGGTGTGCACCACCACTCCCAGTCTCACTTGCAATCTCAGTGTGCCCCGGGGGCAGGGCTGGCATGGCAGGCCTAGGGATGGAACCCCGACCCCTGGGCCTGCTTGCAGGCACTTTAATCTGCTGAGCTATTTGGCCAGCCCTTATAATATCCTTTGATGCACCAAAATTCTAAATTTAATTTTTAAAAAATTTTATTAATATTGAGACTGGGCGTGGTGGGGCATGCCTGTAATCCCAGTGCTTGGGAGGCTGAGGATCACTACAAGTCCAATCTGTGTAGCAAGACCCTGTACTAAATACATTAAAAAAAATTATTACTACATATTTGTAGATCATGCAGTTTACAATCATCCTGGAGGATGGTTAAGTGTGTGGTTATCATAGCTTGCTTCTTTTTGTTAATCCTCTTCTCCTTTGATCTCCCTCCCTCCCTTCTCCAATTCCTCTATCCCTTTTTAAAATTCTTGCTATTATTAATCTTAGTTCAAGTTATAGCATATAATGTTTACATTACTTGAGGTTATTAGGTTCCTGTGTATGGTACATCTTTATTTTATTTACCTTCGCTCCTCAATTCTCACATTTTCCCTTGACTCAATTTCCTACTGCAAAAGATCCATCTCCTTGTCCCCTTCTATCCATCCTTATTATTCTCTTTTCTTGTACTTTGCCTTACTCAAATATGAGAACCCATGTAATATTTAAGCTTGTGTGTCCAGTTTATTTCACTCAATACTATATTTTCTAGGTGTATCCATTTTCTCACCAATGTCTCAAATCTGTATTCTTTTTTTTTTAATGAGCAGAATATATTTATTGAGGGAAAGAAAGCTCCTGGCCGAGAAAGTGACAGGAGGGGGGCCGAGCAGATTGTCCCCCTCAAATCTGCATTCTTTATAGCTGAGTAACATTCTATTATATATAGATACCATATTTTCTTTATTCAGTCATCCTTTATTTTTATTTTTATTTCTTATTTTTGGCAGAACTGGGGATTGAACTGAGGCCCTTGCACTTGCCAGGTAAGTGCTTATTCTACTGAGCCATCTCTCCAGCCCCTCAGTCATCTGTTGATGGATATACAGGCTGCTTCCAGGAGTTGGTTATTATGAGTTGTACTGCTATAAACACTTGTATGTATGTATCACTATAGTATGACGTGTTAAGCTTTTGGGGAGGACACTGACCAGGAAGATCACTCCATCATATGGAATTTCTATTTTAGTTCTTCGAGAAATCACCATAATGATTTTCATAATGGTTGTGCTAGTTTACATTCCTACGCAATGGAGGGTTCTTTGATCACCACAGCCTCAACAGCATTTATTACTGTTTGATTTCTTAATGACTGCCTTTTTTTGAAGATGGAATCTTAGCGTTGTTTTAATTTGCTTTTCTCTAGTGGTCAGAGATGTTGAGTATTTTTTCCCATATATTTGCTGATCATTTGTGTTTCTCACTTTCTGAAGTGCTTGTTCTTTCTCTTGCCCATTTCTTGACTATATCTTTAATTTAACCTGGAGTAATATTTTTGAGTTCTTTGTATACTCTAGAGATTTGTTGTCAGGCTGAGGAGTAGGAGGCAAATTTTTTCTCCATTCTATTGTTTGTGTCTTCATTT